CTGGATACCACCTTGCTACTTGTCGCCTGGAAGTCTAGTTGTATAGCAAGAATATGGATCTTTTGCTCATCTCGTTCCCTGAATCTGCACAAGACATTATCTTACCAAATGTGCTATTAGTCACTTGCTTCTATCCAGAAACATGACATTCTAGTGACCAGCTCTCAGGGAAGAGGAAGTTAAGTAAGTTACATTACTCTAAGCAGCACATCTATGCCTCAAATAGCAAAGATTTGGGATTTTGGAGGTAAAGGTCCTCTATTACAAAGTATGCCAGATAAAAGAGCCTGCCTTCAGCCACAAGCTGTGCACCTTTTCAACTGTTCTGCCAAACTTTTTCTAGGTTAAATGTCTGGAGCAGTGATTAGAACTTTGGCAGGACACGTCCTGTGGGTCAGGAATTTAACTTCTCCCACCCTTGCATAAAAATCTGCCTAAATTTGGCCAGATCATGAACCCCATATAAAACACAGGGCATGCACAAAGGGCAGTGACTTAGCAGAGCTCAACAGACACATTTACTGCAGATTTCATCGACACTAAACACGCTGAAGCATGGGGCCAAGTAGAATTTTCCCTTTCACTGTAGCTTTGAGCTGCTACACGCCAGGTCCAAAAAGTAATAGCACAGCACCTGTCTCTCCTCTGTCATAGAACCTCAGCTAGGTCCAAGGATAGAGCTGCCCAATATCAGTGGTACAGGAGGGAGAGAGGGAGGGAGCTAATCAGATGAATGAGTTCAGGAATGGGGGAAGGGAAGGTCAAGCCTGGAAACGGTGAGGAAACGGTTTCCTAACTTGGAACAAGATGATGTAGATACACAAGCACGGAATAGGAGCTGAGGTGTCAGTCCCAGCCCTGCTTCTGACCTGACTAGAGACCTGTGGTTAATGATCTCTGCCTTTTCCAAGCAAAGTGTGACTGCAGCTTCTGATTTCAGCAGCTTCTCCCTGTGAGGTCCCAAAGGCTTCAAGCTGACTGACTTAACGCACCTGGTTGCAATACAGTCGGGACTGGGAAGAAGGCACTTCCAAGAGCAGAGGCAAAAAGCAAAATGCACTTCTGCTGTAGCATCTCAGGACCCTCCTATCTTGTCCCTTTACCTCTGTCAATCTGAGCAAGTTCCTGGTTCTCCCCCTCAGAGTCGTCGCTGTCCTCGTCACTTGGGGGGTAGGAGATCTAGGGGACAAGTAGAAAGAAAAGGCTTCATTGTGAACACTGAACATTGTTCCTGCTGCTGCTGAAACCACTTCCCCCACCCATATCCTGCAGGCATCCACCCCAACTGACCACACACACCCTGTCGTAGCACCTCCCTGTATTCACATCCTCATCTCCCAACCTTAAAATCTCATTGTACCCTTTTCCTTGCAGCAACACAAAACACACAGCCTACCACTATCTCCACCTTACCACACTGTCAGCTCTTTCCCAAGCACAAACGAACATACTCTGCCCTTAGCTCCCCAGACACACAGCTTGTAACCATCACAGCCTACCACATCCACCTCACCTGGACAACTGAATCTCCAAAACCCACCTCTGAAATAAAGACGCATCCTGTCAACAGCACTATTGTCTTGCAAGGCACCCACAAATGGATGTGGTGTGTCACTGTAGCCATCTTATGTATGTGCCCACACATCCCCCTTGAAGACACACACACAGGCCACCAAAGAACAGACGCATCTTTTGCTTTTGTACAAGACAGCTCTGAAGAATGTAATATAAAAATAAAAAAACAGGACTTCAGAGAAATGTAAACAATAACAGTATGCTCTCCCTGTCAGCACTGACTCTTGCAGTATCACTGAACACCCTTAAATGCTCCAAGAGAAAGGAGAACTCATATTTTGTGTAATAGGAATTTTCAGGAATATTTGCTTTGAGCTAGTCAATGGACTTGACCAAACTACTCACCTTATACCCAAATACCTACTTAGTCTAAACATATTCTAACACTGAACAAACTTGGTACCTTGGTACCTCTCAACTATCTTCTTGAGATGGGTTGAGAGTTCTGAAGTCAAGTTTTTCAAGTAAGATAGGTCCAACTCCTGCTGAGTTCCCTATGCAGAAGAAATCCTACCCATCTTGTTCCTAAAGTGACTTTTGTTCTGCTGCATAAAGCGCACCTGGAAGTTACTTTATCTATACAGCTTAAATTTGTGTCTCCGGCAGTAGCCAAAACCAAATGAGTGGAAGGAAAACATAATACTTCAGAAGAAACTCTTACAAGAGACAGTAACAGGATCACTGCAAGATGAGCTTTTTATACCTTATGCCTTTTTATACAAAATAACAACAGACATTCCCATCATTCATAGCTTTGTCTTGTAAGTTATTTGCCCACAATAGTATCTAGCGGCAATAGGTTTCAAAAGGTTACACGCTGTGTTTCCACTTTAGAAGTGTTTGATGTGCTGTCCTTAACTTTTATAGAAGGTGAGGCAGCATGCAACTTTTACACTGATACAGACCCATTTTGCCTCCACCACTGTTCCTAAGGAAACATCCTTGGAGCGTCTTGGCCTCATTGGCACCCGAAAGAGCAACTACATTTAACTAGGTGCCTGTGAGAGGAAGATGTGCACAGCGAATATAAAGAAATAACAGGAGTAGCAGAGAAATTCTGGCTGACATGGAGTTTGACAGCTGTTAAGTCAACCCACCTACTTTTTCACCCTCCTCCATGTTTTTTTTTTTTTTTTTTTTTAAACCTGAAAGTCTGTTGCCACCTTTTCCCTCCTCCCCTTTTAGAGCTACCTTTTGTCCTTCTATATTTACACTGCCCTGTAAGAAGCTAGAAAATATTTTCCTATCTTGTTGCTCTCTTTAAAAATGCTTTTCCAGCTCTCAAATTATGAATGGGGAAAGGAGCATAGATTTATCCTCATTTCTAATACTCTTGAAGTAAATGCTGGGCATTATTTTTCCACAGCAACTACAATTTTATTGTATACATTCACACATATATGTTATTTAATAGAGGCAGCTGGTGCTAAGGAACACCACCAAATTAACAGCTTCTACTTGTCCCTAGAGCAGGTAGAATACCTTGTTTATTTCACGGTAGTTTGCAGAGATGCCAGTTGAGCCTGAGGTGCCACTACGCTAGTGTGCTGTACAAAGAGACAGAGAGGCCTGGTCTTCATCAGAAAAGCTAAGGCTCCAATTCCGACTTGAGAGGTATAGACCTTAGTTTGTGGCTCGTTCACACATAAAATCCTTCCCTTGGATGTAGCAGGGTTTTCAAGGAGGTTTAGTGGCTTTGACAGTACTAAAAAAAGGGAAACTCATCAGCTCCACCGTTTGCGCTGTGTACATGTCAACACAAGGCATGGCATTGCTTCCAAAAATGAGGCAGCAACATTTAGCTCATGTAGGTCAAAGAGCTACCACACAATACCACTGGCTTGAGATAAATAAAATCAAGAGCTGGATTTGAGCTGGATTGATTGACATTTTGAAGGTCTTTATATCTACTGGTCCTGAGTTTCCAATATATAGAGTTCTCCCCGTACAAGTGCAACATAGCCAGCCCCAAGTCTCGTAACTGACAACTCATGCCCACTAAGTCCTCCTTAGTCTCACAGGCAGCCCAAGACTAATTCATTTGGAGTTGCCTTGAATGCTTCTCTAGAGGTTCAGAGCACCTGCGAGAGAGAAGACATCTCTCTCTCAAACAAGAGGAAACTGAGTCTGTGGATTTGGTCCCATCACATATCCCAAAGAAGTTAAAGTGAATAGGACAATACGAAAGGCTTCATAGAAAAATGGGGCTCCCACAGTTGTGGTAGTCATCTTCCAGATGCTGGCCTTGGGGGGGGATGGGAGGGGACACCCACTCTTCCAGCCAATTGGGATTTTTATGAGTAACATATTAAGCACTGTTTTCAGAATCAAGGCAAGCAGAGATACCTATTCAGCCATTCATCCTAACTCCCATAATTTCTCTTAAAAGAAGATCTCACCCATAGCACATTTCTTCTGAAATCCTAAAAGGTCCAGTCACCCTTACAGTCTGAAGCCCTAAATTATAAGAGGCTGAAAAAAAAATACTCTATTAAAGTGCAGTTCCTCTTGGTTTTTGCCTACAAAAGAAAAATTAGCCTGCTACTACATGAACAACAGTAAATCCATTAAGAATCATACAGGAGATTACAAAAGAAAAAGAAATCTCACTTCTATGGCAGAACAAGTAACAAACACCTCCCAACAGGCCTTACTTCCTGGCCATATTGCCCTAAAAAGCAACAAAACACCAACGGGGTGCTTTGATGGAGAGGAGGGTGCATACATGAGAAGCAGGGGAGACAAACACACAATGAACTGCATGTCTTTGCACAGATGCTACCTGAAGAGCTGGAAGCACACACATGTGAGCATCTGTGAGCACAGAAGCAATGCGGCTAAGTATGTGGGTGTAACTGCAAAATCATTTGCCTAGCCGTTTCAGTAAGCATCGATCCGGATGTGCAAAATTTTGAGGAAAGCATGTTTCTATGCCAATGGGGAGGAGAGGGAGGAAACCACAAAGTTCCTTCTCCGGTGCTGATTGCAGAGTCTGCTCCTACTGTTTGCAGGACACCCGATGATGCGTGTATTGAAGATACTTAAACATATCTGTGACATGAACTGTTTTGTGATGGAAAAAGGTAGGAGAATAAGTTCTTCCATGAACTGGAAGAGTCTCTTCACTCACTCACTTGTTCCCCTCAAGCTGGGAAACTCCTGTTCTTCCATGCTAAAGCTTTTTTCTCTACACTAGCTGAAGCAGCAGGGCTCCCCCCTTCTTTGCTCCTCTCCTTCTCAGCCTGCATCAAGAACGCATGTAGGCTGTAAGGTATCATTCCCAACCCATGTCTAGGAACAGTCTGCCTCCAGGGAAGTAGCTTCCCTGGGAGGAGCCAATACTGCCTTCCCTACCAGATGTAGGGCGCTCTACCACACAGGCTCACTCCGTTGAGCGTGGGATTCCAGGGCACCACTGCCACTAAGTGAAGCCTCGGAATGAGACTTTGCTGCATCGGCCTCACTCTCTGGTGCCTGGCACAAAATCAGAAAGCGATAAAGAGCTCATCAATGACTGCTTAAATCTCTGCTGCAGGGAGCTGATTTCCATTTCGTCAGACTTCAAACCGGAGAAATGAAACTCATATTCACTTAAGACGAATCTTCTGCCTGCTGTACTGCCTACAGAACAGCTGCTAGAGACACAAGCAACTACAGCACAGGGCTCTGCTGCTGGATCTTCTCCTTTCCAACTGCTTGGCTTTAGTGAAAACATTTTACTAAATTTCCCCACTGTTATTTTTACAGGTAAACAATTGCTGCAGTTGCCATGGGACACTGCTTCATCTTGAATGAAGGAGGTGCCATCCCTTCAATAGCAGCACTGAAGAAACGCTGAATTAGAGAGAGTGAGAACATACAGGAGGCAGACACTGAAAAGCAGTTTGGAACTGTATGGAACAACATGAGGAAGAGGGAAGGACCGAGTCAAACAGACCTTCAAATTAATACCTAATTTTCCTTCTCACTCAAGCACTCCTTTATTTGAGAGATGTTCAGCATTATAGGCATCATTTACTCTAACAAAACAGGCTGCAATACACGTTCTCTCCTCTGGTAAAGCAGCAGAGTTAGAGACCACAGAAAAGGTTCAATTCAGCCTTCAAGCATCCACAAGTCAGACCTGAATGCCCAGACTAGTTTGGGATTTTACAGCTGGGATTCTTCAGCAGCTAGACCTCCAGTCAGAACAGTCCTAGATCGGAAAAACTTTTTGAAGTCTATTTTTCTATTATTACTACTTTACTCTTATTTTCACAACAGGTCTGTGTCCAAATGTCTTTCCCCATTTTCTCGCAAATTGCTAAGGTTCAAGCCTAGTGTTCTTAACCCTCAAACATTGTCCATCTTGATAAAGCATCTGTTTGGCTTAAACTGGTGATGGGCTGGTGGGGCACAGCACTCCTTGAGGCCTTTGTTTCCTAGGCTTGTTCCATGCCAAAGACATCCCTATTTTTACAGGAAAGGTGCAAGTTCAGTCAACCATGTTATCTTCTGCATAGGCCTTCTAATTTAACCTTCAGTTGTTTCACACATCTAAAGGAAGTAGAGGGTCACTCCAGGTATCCCAGTCCCCAACGTTTAAACAATAAAAATGTCATTTT